AGTATCATGCTTTCAGGGTAAATGTGGGTTTTCTTTCTATTCCACCTTTTCTCCTGGCACAGAAGCGCTTGGCACTTCTTTGTTGAAGCAGCTATGATACAGTTTGTGTAGCTGAGATGAACTATTACAGTACAAAATGAAAACAGCTTAAGGTTCTATCCACATCGAGTTTTGAGCGTGTTCAGGCACAGTTCAAAAGCATTCCAGGCTCAAGTAATGCTAACGTAGGTTTGTCTGCCATAGAGGTTGAGTTGTTGAGTCCTTGACTACAAAGGATGGTAGCAGAGGCTCAGGAGTGCAGCATGAAGTGTATGTTGCTCTGCAGCCCTGTGGGTATTAAATTGTTTGGGCTCTTTGTGTCAATGTGTGAGCCAGTTTGCTGTGGCTGGTGCTATTTCTTTTAAAAAGGAGAAAAAAAGGCATGTGCAGGAAGGGTATCTTCAAGGAGGCCGAGGTTGTTCCTTCCCTTAGTGTTCCAAGAGCTCAAAAGGTCTCAGTCAGAAATATCCTAGTGTGAAGTTAACAGCCGCAACAATTAGGTTTGCAGTGCCTTTATTATACATCGAAGAGGTTTTCTCTCTGCCCTGTGGAAACGGCGTGTGTGAAGTTGGCTTCTGCCATCTCATTTTGTCTTATTTGAAATGTGATCTCTGCTTAAAGTCTGTTCCCTTGTCGTGGGGTGACCAGAGAAGTTATCACCTGTGTAGCAGAAGTGGTAGAGCAGGTGGATGGCACATAAAAAGGACACTGTGTGTGTCATGACCATGAATACATGGTGCTGTGAACACTGGTGGGCAAGAAACACAATTCGTGACCCTTGAAGCTGTGAAAGGGAACAGCAACAGTGGTTTTGTTGTTGTTTTTTCTTGGCTAATCGCTACTGGTAAGTCTGAGAGGTGTCATGATTATTTCTTCTTTCTGTCATAGAACCCCTTGCTGAGATGTGGATTTTTTCCTCTCTGACACTCTCACACTGATCCAACCCAAGCTCTGGAGCAGGAAAATGGGAGTGGAGGCCATGGCACCTCTGGGTTACCTCTGTTCTGTGACACTGCAGAGGATGCCTTAAAAAGTGGTTGTCTTACCTTGGTGCTCTGTAGCAACCAGGTATGAAGAGGATGCCTTAAAAAGTGGTTGTCAAACCTTCACACTCTGCAGAGCAGCGTGAAGCAGTGTGAATAAGAGTAGTTACTGGGTAACTAAGCAGCTTAGGAATTCTTCCGTCTGTAGTTACTGTTTATTTCTCTTCTTTAGTACCAGTCCTTGTTGAATGCTCGTGTATTTGGATGAAATCCACCAGCACTAAGTCAGATTGTTTCTGTTGCCTGTCCCAGGTTTACCTACGGCCACGCCGGCACAGTCTACAAGGAATTTGTGTACATTTCGGGAGGCCATGACTACCAGATTGGCCCCTACAGAAAAAATCTGCTGTGTTACGATTACCGCACGGATGTTTGGGAGGAGAAGAGGCCGATGATCACCGCCCGGGGCTGGCACAGCATGTGCACCTTGCAGGACAGCATCTACTCCATCGGCGGCAGCGACGACAACATAGAAACCATGGCCCGTTTTGACATCTTGAGCGTGGAGTCCTACAGCCCACAGTGTAACCAGTGGACCAGAGTTGCTCCTCTGCTGCAAGCTAACAGTGAGTCAGGGGTGGCTGTTTGGGAAGGCAAAATTTATATACTTGGAGGCTACAGCTGGGAAGAAACGGTCTTCTCCAAGACGGTCCAGGTTTATGATAAGGAGAAAAATAAGTGGTACAAAGGAACTGATCTACCCAAAGCGATCGCTGGTGTGTCCGCGTGTGTCTGTGCGTTGAAACCCAAAACAGAGGACAAAAAGAAAAAGACAAAAACAAAAAAGCATCAAGATCGAGGAAGATGACTACTTCTGGATAACCACCCTTTGGTGGTGGACCCCGAAAGAACCTTGTATTTATCATTTCTTTCTAACCTTGATTCTTTATTCTTCTTTTTAAATGGGGGGGTGGGAGGGGAAGACATCTTCTGAAGCCTCAGAAATGTACAGTTGAATGTGCTTTTTGGATTAAGCTCATATTTAAGGCAAAAAACAAGAAAAACCAAAAAGTCCCTCCTACTGTATAAGGGATGGCGTGGCAAAAGAGGTTATGCTGATCTCCTGAATGTTAAGGATTAGGCTTTTACATCTGTGGTTCATGGCATTTCCACACACGTCATATTATCTTGACATTTTTAAAATAAGGTTGAATCTTTGGCTGAGATGATAATGTCAAGGGTGAGGAGGGGCAGAGTAGTAAGCGATCGGTTGGAAGTTACAGAGCGTTTCAAAGGAACTTGGAAGGAACTGCTCTGAAAAAATGAAACATCTTCGATGTTGTAAGTCTTGAATTTTTGTAACATTAAAGTCCATTTCCAATACGTCCTTGAGTTGTTAGTATCAGATTTCTGGAACATGTGAGTGTTCAAAGGAAATATTCTTCAGGTGAATGCAGGTCAGATCAGCTCAGAGCACAAGAAACTCCACTGTGCTCTTAAGATCAAGAGGGTCTTATTTATTGTGTGGCCAGAGAATAGCTGGGGCTGGTTTGGGCTCGGACAGATAGCTTGGTGAGCTTTGAAATCTAGGGGGCAATGTGACTTTTGTATCCCTCATTGCAACACTTTCCGTATCTAGACACAATAGCGAGAATTTTTTAGGCTTTAAAACGTGCCCTGGAAAGAGGGAGAGGAACCCCTTTAAAGAAGTTGAAACAAGATTTGAGGATGTGGATGGAAACAGCACGGTTTGCTTTGAGCTTCAAAGCAGACGGAACCGATAGAGCTCGCTATGAGTTTGGGGTTTGCTTTTAATGGGGTACAGAGGGTAGGGAAATGGCAGGAGGATTCTTTAGCTAAGTGTGAAGCAAGAGTATGTCCTTCCCCAGCCCTGCCCAGCTGTACAAGCTGGGATTTGCTTCATTTAACTTGGACCTCGCAGAGGTCACAGCTGCTAGCCAGTGGGAGCAGGGGCCCGTACTGGACTTGTCCGCTGTCAAGCAGCAGATTAACCAGGATGATTAATTGGGGCTCAGCAATCCTGAGGAAGAGCAACTCACTTTCTGCCTGAGCTAGTCGCTCCTACTTTCCTCCTTTTTCAAATTCAGATTGGCTTCTCATGAGAGTAGCCTTTTCTAATGGGTTTTGTGGGGACCCCACGCCATCAGGTGTGCAACAGAGCCTTTCCCTAGTGGGTTCTGAAGGAAGAAACCTAAAATATGCTCGGGACCATACTTGGGATCCAGACAGCAGGACCAAACTAAAATCTGCTAGATCCTGTGTCACACTATCCTCTGCATACCAAGTAAAGAGATTTCTGCCCCAAGTGTTGGTTCACCCTCTACAAACACAGCTGATTCTGCTGCAGATATTAAAATTCCCCGACTGTCTGGCCAGCTTGCAGGCATTCACCCTGGGGCGTTTTACAAATGTACCTCTTGTTCACAAGGAGTCGATCACCAGCAATCTGATACAACCACTTCAGTTACTGTAATAATGCCAGGCCACAGAGTTAAGATTCCCCCTTCCCCAAAATAAGTTTTTAGAAAGTTTTTAAAAACTTTTATACTTTTTTATAACGCATTTTGCTAACTCCAGTCTCTTGTTTGCCATATATTATATTATTTACTACGGAGGCTACCGCTCCGTTCTTGTGGCCCTGTTGTTGCTGTCAGGAACTCCTAATTTGACGGATCTTTTAGTCTTTGTGTAGTTGGTTGGGATGTGCTGCAGCTGTTAGAGCAGCATTTGCATTCCCAGCATTGTCAGGCAGTCAGCTATAATTGTAACTAGCGGACGGCCTCTGCACTGACAGCCCAGCTCGCCAGACACGCTAATAAACACGGTTTATTTTCAGCTATTGGGGATCTGTTGAGTGGTTTGATTTAAAGTTCTGCCGGGGAACAATTGATTGTAGTTATTTTTTATTTTCTCAGTCCTTCCTGCACCTCTCTCCTGCGCGCCATAGCCCCATATTTCACATTTGCCCCTTTTTCCACCTGGTGTACATATGGCTGATACCTTGCTAATATCCTGCTACCCTCCCAATTTTATTTTTTTTAAGGTTGTATTTTTTTTTTATTTTGGTAACTATTTACCTCATTAATTGGAAAACACTAAGAGAACATTTTTGCACTTACCATCATTTGAACCTCTTGTAATGCAGAGAAGTCTCACGTTGCAAGAACCTATTTGTGTTGGAAGAGGTACCTCTGAACAAACTTCAAGTGCAAGGAAGTCACAGGTGTCTTCTTCAGTGCTAAGAAAAAAAAACGAGTTGAAATGAATTTTGGGAAACTCCTTAAGTTTTTTTTTTTAAAAAAAAAAGCTGAAGGAATTGGTCTCATTTGCATTAATGGATTTGTTTTAAAGCTTTTGTACACTGCATGAGGTAATTGATATTCATTTTTTTAATTCTAAAAACTAAAATTAAAAAAAAAAATTTGGTTATGACAAACTCGTTAACGAGTTGTTTTTTGTTTTGTTTTGTTTTTTTTTATATCTGAAATCCTTGCTATGTTGACTGACAGCTACTTAACTTTTGGGGACATTTTCATGTGTAAGTATAAAACAAATTTCAAAGACTCGCTTTGTTTTTATTAATGGGTTACTTGTTACTATATTTCCTCCTTCCCTCCCTACCCCCTTTTCATTAAATGTGTTTATGTATTACATTAATGCCTGGAACAAATAAATCCAGTTTAGAATATTGTATTCATCACTGCCTGATTTGTGTATTAATTTAACTGATGTCTTCCTTATTGAGAAATTGGAAAGAAGTAATTTTATAATTATTTTAGGTGGCATTGATCATGATGGAAATGTTACAACAGGCAGAAGCTAAACATAGCAATTTTCAAGAGTTTAATGGGGAGTAGGTAAACACAGTTAGGACTTCATAATATGAAACTTAACTGCACAGGCAAAATGTAACCTCAGTTCTCAACAAAGTAAGCTTCGTTTTTCACAGCCCAGTTATCATCCTTCCAAAACCAAAGGCTATGTGAGTGTGTGACATCTCTGCCATTACTAGAGGCCACCAGGGTAACATACCTGTTGTTGCTGTAAGCTTTTTTCCATTATTTAAGCAACAGATGATTGCCATTTGCACCTCCGAGTCCCGGGGCAGCAAGCACTGCCAAAAGCCCCCTCTGGGTGCCCCGGCCGTGGCTCAGCATCGATCGCAGGGCAGCGGCGTGTTAGGCAGCAGCAGGTCCAAAACGGCTTCATGAAATCAGGGTGCTGCAATTTAGCAAAAACAAAAGGGAGGATAGGTGTGAGGGGATGTCTGCTTCGGTTCTCGCAGCCCAGACAGGCCTGTCTGAGAGCAATGAGGGTGAAGGGAACAGGGAGCAGGCGCCTCCCTCCACTCTCTGCACTTACAGGGTCAGCCCAGCACCTGTGCATTCCTCAGCCTTCATCCCCACGCTTCATACAGCGCTTTGCTTCTTGTCAGGAAGCGCAGCTCTCTTCCTGCCCTGGGGAGAAATAGCTGCCGCTCTACCTCATTTCCAAAAAGGCTCCTGCTGCCAAATTCTGCAGAAAGCTCGTTTTACCTGACGCAGCTACCGATAACTGCAGCTCCTCTCGTCCTACACTCGCACCGTGCGTGCGCCTCGGCATCGGCACGTCGGGGAGCTGCGCCTCTACCGCTAGCGTTAGATAACCCAAATCCCTTGAGACGCCCCGAGGAAAAATTACACCACAGCATGAGATGCGGTTGTTTTGAAGGCTTGAGAAAGAAGCAGGAAATATTTTTGTTTTCAGGTTGAAGTCTTAAATTAAGAATAATGGGCCTGAGTGTCTGCCTTTTCTCTGTGAGAGATCAGACCACTTTCTTCCAGACACTGGTGGTTTCTGTGTGCTCCTCAGGATTCAGTATTCTTGAGTGATAGCAAAGAAGGGTCTCACCTCTAGAGAATTTAGAGGAAGAAATTAGCCTTTAGTACTGTTTCAGAGAAGTGCTTTAACTGGCAGAAAAAAATCTGGATTCCAATTGTGATTCTTAACTTGCTGATACATCCTAAAGATCTCAGCAGTAAGTTTCAATGGAAAAAGAGGTGGCACAACCAATCTTGCATGTTATTTTGTTTCAGAGCTGATTATGGCTTCATGAACTTACAGCTTTGGGTTGTCTTTGGACCCTGTGGTCAGTGCAGGTGCGCCCCCAGCCCTGGTGGCAATGCAAGTTCAAGTGTACACAAGCTCCAGCTCCTCACGGTTCCTTCTCCCTTCTGGCAACTCCCCGACTGATGAGAGACGCAGCCCAGTAGCAGGTTTGCTGATACCAAATGTTTTATTTAGCATTGCATGGCCTTTCTCTGAAGCTCTGGATAGCTTTGGGAGAAAAATACCAAAATACACTTTTGTTTTTTATCATGACGAGTTAGTTCAGTTACAACAGAATGTGAACGGAAGGTGAGAGAGACTTGCAGGTTCTTTTCAGATTGCAGCCCTGAAATGTACAGTTGCATGAGAGATGGCTCATGTTTGAGATAAGGTTGGAAAAGGCACAGATAATTCAGCCAAAGGGTCTGCGTAGATAATTGAAACGCAAAGTATGTGGAGTCAAGCATCCACATGATCTATTAGAGACCTGTCCAGGCTTGAAATTTGTTGCAGGCTAACTTGAACTAGTTCACACTAAAGTGCCTTCCGTCAACAAATTAAACGTATTTTTCACAGCTTTTCAGAAAGTTTAGGAATAGAGAGTCGGGTTTTTGTTAATCTATTTTGGAATAAAATACCTCCTATCAGTGTCCTGTGCTGCTCCACCTGTACAACCGTTCCAGCTGCTCCCTTGACTTCCTTTGGTAAATCCAGGATGCCTGGTACTGGCCTGTGCAGTTTAGGTCATGGAAAGTTCAGAGCTTACGATTGTTCAGCACAGGTTTCAGCACTGAAAGTCTGAGGCTTTGGGAAAAGCCCCGGGAGCAACTATCCAGTAGAACACTGTCTGCTGTGCAAGCAGCTGTCCAAGAGAGATTTCACAATGAGGACCTAAGCAAGTCTTAGACACGACTGCTTCTTTTAAGTGCGTTATGGCGTGCGTCTGGATAGATGGAACTAAAAGAGCTTCCTTCCCAATGCTGTTTCTGTGCCACCGCAGGCACGAGGCTGGTACCAGTATGGTCCCTTAGACTCCTGATGCTTTAATATTTCTGATTTTTCTTTAAACACACAGCAGCCACCCCAGCTTTGTGTCTTAGTCCCCTCAACACATTGTGACAATTTTTTTTTTTTTTTAATTTCCAGTTGAATCCTATTACCAGAATAACTGGAGGAATAGCAAAGCCTTTATTGTACCTAGAAACTACTGGGATGAAAGCTCTCGATCTCCAAAGGAAAGTCTCTAGAGCTTCTAAAGCTCTTAACACTACAGGGGAGCTTTACATGGACATCAGTCAACCTTCCACAGCGATCAACCAGCTCGTGCAGCACTCCAGGAAGATGTTCAGTCCCTGAAAGAATGGATGTGCGGGTCCCATCAGGTGCTTCAGTGTGGAGAAGTCAGATGTGCAAATCCTTCACCTCCTGGGCACTGTCATGTGCACAGGTCTTTTGATCTTGTGAAGTCATGAGGAGTAAGGAATGGGAGGATAAGCCATTCCCGAGCATTTACGGTAGGGTATGAACAATTCCAGCAGTTAGCGGGAGGAAGCTGACCTAGAGTACTTTATTCAGGTCTCTAGCTAATGTTAGACGATGCTTTCTGATTTACACAGCCATGGCCTTCAGTTGTTCTTGATAATACAGAATTGAGGACGAAACTTTCTGCAGGTATAAGTTTCTTTCAAAGCATGCTATTACCATAAAGCTTACAAAACTTACATTATTACAAAACATCGTGGTAAAGTTGTAACAGTCTTTACAATGAAACTCTAGTAAGACAGGATAAAATTGAAGGTGTTTTAGATGTTGCTGAAGTGTGAGACAGCAACATCCTTTCTGCCCACGGGTCGGTTTCCATCATCAGCTATGGCTTTCAGCAGTACTGGTATGTGAAGTAACTGGTTTCCAGATGGGAAGCTCTGTGCGTGTTTGTATTTTCAGCCATTTGAAAGGGCAACCTTTCCAGCAAAAAGTCGGTTTACTTAAGCAGTGTTGTGGGCAGAGGGAAATTTTGCCTTCAGCTGGATGAGCCGCTTCAGGGTTTTCACTCCATTATTTACCTTGTAAATTAGACTCTAGAAGGGAGAGAGGGTTTCAGATATTTGAAATGCTATATGCAAAAACCCTATACATTTCTCTCCCTTTTTTGTTTTTCTATTTTAATATTAAACAGCCATTTTCACTGCCGGTTCTCTGCCTTAGGACAGAAGAGCAACACTTGCTAGAAACAAAAGAAAGGGAGTGGCAGCAGGGTGTGTCGACTAAAAGGCCAGAAGCCGATACAGAAAATCATCTACTTCTCCTCACATTACTGTCACGAGCACAGACGAAGTGTTGCAGTTCATAAAATGAAAGGCAAATGTCCTTATCTGATAACGCAGCGGGTGAAGTCTTTGTGTTTCTGGTGAACCTCCTCTTTGAGCTGCCAAACTCACAAAGTTACTCCCTTTTCTTCTCTTCAACTTTCAGGCATGCTACATTTCTTCCTAACGCTTCCTCCCCAACTGAAGCGGACATTTGCAGGATCCTGCAATTTAAGGAAAAAATTACGGAGCGTATCAGTGATTAATTTGATGGGCTCTTGCCTGGGGGGTTCAGCATCCACTCATGACTCAGCCCTCCCAAAATCATGAGATTGGCTTAGTCACTTATTTTTACTTTCTTTCCCCAAACATGTGCTGCCCTCATTTCCCTTCTCGCTACTCGGGAGCAAGGCTTTTCGTTGCCAGATCCCTCGGCCCTTGCATCTTCGAGTGGTGGCTGCCTCCAGCCTACCTGCTGGGGTGACATCATGCACGTGGCCTTTGGCAAGAACCCCAGTGGGTTACAGATCATAGAACCATAGAATTCTAGAATCACAGATTCATTAGGGTTGGAAAAGACCTCCGAGATCATCAGGTCCAACCATCCCCCTACTACCAACAGCACCCACTGAGCCGTGTCCCGTGTGGGGCAGTCCGGCAGCTCACATCCCCCTGGTTTTTCAGCAGTAGGGTGGCGGAGGGCCCTGCTGCCTCTCTTGGGTCACCCAGCAGGGATGGATGTTGGCTCCTTCCCACACGGGGACGAGCTGAGGGATTCCCATGAGGGGCTCACCCCTCATGAGGGGCTCATCCCCCCATAGCTGCTTGCCTCACAGCCGCTCTAAAACACTCCAGGGCAGGATGAGAACCTTTCTAGCATCCCCCCACCACCTCAACCTGCCTCCCCCAACCCCCCTACCCACAAAAAGACCATCAGGCGGCTTCTTTTCCCCACTAAAACCCCCAAACTCCAGCACCCCCTCCTCCATCCCCTCAGGGCCGCCCCCTCCCTCCGCAGGCGCAGAGGCGCCACCGCCCCCCCCATTCCCTCCCCTCCCCTTCCCTCCCGCCCCGCCACAGGAGCCGCTGCGCATGCGCAGTGCGCGCCGCCCGCCCGCCCGCTGCGTGCGGAGCGAGAAGATGGCGGCGGCGGGGGCAGCGGCGTGAGGCGCACGGCGGACGCCGAGCTCCCCGGGGGCGCCATGGCGCTCAACAGCGCCCAGGTGAGCTCAGCGCGGCCCTCCGGGGCTAGGCCGAGGAGGTTTCCGTCCTTTCCTCTGGCTCTTCGTAAAGGAGAGCGGGCCCGGCCCCGCGAGCCGGGAGCGTGGCGGCGGAGGAGTAGGCCCGCGGTGATTGTGCAGCTTGGCGGGGGCGCTGCTGGGGGGGGGGTCCCGCCGCCACCGCCCGGCCCCGCTGAGGGGAGCTCGGGGGAAGGGCTGCGGGGGGCCCTGAGGGGGAAGGAGAGGAAGGGGCGGCCTGAGGGAGCCCCCGGGGAGGGGTCGGAGAGGCTGCTGGGCCCCTCCAGGAGCCAGCGGAGGGCTGGAAGGGATTTGGGGCGGGATTTGGGGTGGGGAGGGGGGCGCCGGGAGCCGCTCCGGGATGGGAAGGGAACAAGGGGGCGGTGAAGGGGGTCGTGAAGGAATCCCCCTCCCACCTCCCCCCTCCTCCAGGCACAGCTCTCGGTCGGGCTGCGCCCATCGGGGTGCAAAGGGCCGGGTGTCGCAAGATCGAGGCGTGGGGACGCGGGCACAGAGGCCCCAACCCCAGGCCCAGCTGGGCGGAGAGCTCCCGGCCCCGGCTCCGGCCCCATTCCCAGCCCCAGCCTCAGCCCCGTGTGCTCGAGGCACGGCAGTGGCTCAATGGGTTAAGTTCAGAGTGGCCTTTGTAAGGGTTTTCTTCTTTTTTTTTTTTTTTTTCGCTCCCCAAACGCTTCGTAGTGGAAAGGCTAGGCAGGATCTGCGGCGTGCGTTTGCAAAACTCGATGCAACTTTGGTTTTAGTAAATAATAAAGTTCAGGAAACTTGGGGTTAAAAAATAGTTTTGCTAACAAATAGTGTACTCTCTGGTGGGAAAAAAAAAATAAATTGTTTTAAACAAGGTGATGTGCTATCCTGTACTCTATTTATTCCGAAGGGTGATTAAGGCACACACGTAATAAAGGTGCGTGTTAGCGGTGCTATGATTTTTCCTTAAAGAAAAGTTTATGATTGGTGAAAACTGACCTGATATTTCTTGTCCCATGGGATTTATTTGTGCTTGAGAGAGAGCGGGACCTGGTTTTGTTGATGTGGATGTTCACAGTGCAGTTGTATTTCAGGAGTTTGTTTCAAATTTAGTAAGCTAGCCTGGGATTACAATATTTGGTGTCCTTTAATTTTTCTTTCAAAGTGGAGGAAACTCAGTTTTGCACATCAGCTGCTCTAATTGATGATGTAGAGAACGTGATATATATCAAAAAGTTGTCGTGTCCAAAAGCATAATCTCTTTGACTCTCTCCTTTCCCCTCTAGTACTAGACAGCAGGACATGCAGCCAGTTTGATAAGGCAGAGTTTTTCATAGCAGCTTTTGTCTTGATTTAGAAGAATAAAGGCAATTTCTGTGTCCGTACTTAATTAAGTTGCTGTACCTTGGAATGAAAAAGTAAAGAGTTCAGCTGATGATCTAGTTTATGGTGAAGCACTGCAAAGCTGTAATTAAAAGTAGGCTGTACATTCATCTTTAGTTGTAACTTGCTGTATGTACTCTTTTAAATCAAACCATAGGTAAAGATAGATACGTCTTGCGAGGATTGCTGCTTCAATTTATATATAATTCAGGAAATGAATCTGGAAGATATCTTACAGTTAGTGTTTTGTTCGTGTCATTGAGCACAGCATCTTTTTTTTGTTATTTTGTTTCATTATCTTTTTTCCTAATTTAAACAATTTATTGAAGTGCTTTCTGTGATTCATATGAATTCCTGCTCTAGTGCTGTACTGCTGCATTGAGGTAGCAGTATTTTGGACTCTGCCAGATGGAGAACCTGGAGATAAGGGGAAATTACATCTCTAAAGTTTTATTTTAGGGTTGTAGTATTGAAGAACAGTAGAAAAATTAAAGTGTTCTGATAGAGTTGTAAATTCTGAGCTCAAGAGTAACTAACGTTGTCGTTATGTTTGTCACAATGCTGGCTTCTAGGGGGAACACAGAGGTTTGCTGTACGGCTGTGATTTGATAAACAGGCATTTTCTTTCCCATGGGAGAAAGTCTTCTAGGAAACTGTGCTCTTCTAAACAGTTAAAATGCATCGTCGGATTTCTGCCGGCTCGTGGATTCACGTAGCAGCGTGCAGAAATACTTCATCACTCAGTTTGCATGTTGCAATGAATGAGTCGAGGAACATGACCATACTGCGTATTTTCAAAGGGGGGATTAATTTTGGATGGCCGGCTGGTCAGCAAGCACACGAGGAGGTGGTGACACAGTTCAGATAACGCTGGTCATTCATTCGTATCTCCCTAGTCCCTGTCGTTTATTTCATAATCATTTAATGAGATATTAAAGTGTTGCTGTCAGTTTTCTGGGCGTGTTCTGAGTGTATTCAAAATTCTGAAGGCAAGCTAGAAGTAAACCTGTTGTATCACTCCTGGTTCTGTGTGACACCACAGAGGGAGAGCTGAGTTAATGCTGGATGTAGTGGGAACCTTTTCCAACAGGGACACCTAAATTCTTCTTTTTAAAGAAAAAAAATTAACAACTGTTTCCCTGTTTGAGGAAGAATAATGCTCTGTAGGAACTGCACGCGGAGTTGTTTTAGCCCCTTTCCTATCGTTTTGATAGGGTGAATTAATACAAACATTTCAAGCACAAATCTTGTGAAAACAAGGTGAGCAGAAGAAAGGATACTGTAGCGGAATGAATCATTTATGCTTGTTTTGTTCTTTCACCATTAGTGCGGTGTCAAATTAACTTGGTGCCATTTTAAATGTACCGTATTGCCCCAACGCCAGCTGAAATAAAAACCAGTAGAGTTTGTGCTCAGCAGGAGCTGAACAAGCTGCTGAGCTGCTCATCCTCACCCAAGCCTGAGTCTGGCCCGACAACCAGAAGAACTGGAAGTCAGAGCGTGGCACGCAGCCCGGCTCCCTGAAGTACCGCGCTGCAGACCGCGGCTTTTACGGCTCCTCGCAGCGGTGCTCCCTCGCGGCCGGAGGCTTTGCTGCTCCCTAAAGCCAGTGCCGACTCTGGAGGGGTAAAAGAAAATCCGTAGGCACGTGCCTTGTGCTGTCTTGGCAGCGTGCTGCCTGAAGTTTGTGAGTAGTGACTTTGATTAGGAAATTGATCCGTCTCAAAAATAATCCTTAAAAAAAAAAAGGTTGTTACGCAGCTGGAGGGGTTTCTTGTGCTAGCTTGCTTGTATCTGCGCAGATGTGTCTAATGCTGTGGTGTCCTTACAGACAGAAGGGTTTGAAGAGAGGGCAGTATAGGTTCCTTCTTTTGGGATCCTGAAATAAATGGAAAGCTCTGGGTTTGGGGAGCACTCTGACCACAAAAAGTGGCCTTGGGCCAGTGCTGTAAGTGGATGGATTGGGAGAGAGGTGCATTCATCATCCTGTTGCTGCTGTTGTACTCAGCTGTTTTTCCATGTTTTAAGGGAGTAAAGAGGCTGGATTTGTGTCTGCCTGTTTTTAGAGCCCCTCTTTCCTTGCTGAGAACTGGTTGCTTTGCTCCTTGCCCTGAAGCTGTTGCCGCTGCAGCCAGCAGCTTTCCTCAGCGTCCAGGTCTGGGGAATTCAGGCTGCAACCGAAGCTGCGAGTTTAGGTAGCCAGAAGGTATCATTTGTCTCTCCAAAATGTGAATGGTGAATCCCTGCAGTGCAGTGCGTGAGTGTGGGCTGGTTAGCTTAAAAAAAGGAAGTCTGGGAAAACTGACATACAACTTAAATTTGGAGCTGTGTGGCAGCATGCAAATAATAGAATGAAAACCACACTTCTTGTGAATCACTCCTGTTTATTCTGTGAATTTCAGAGTACAGCACTGATTCAGCGATGTTTTAGAATGGATCCTGCCATTTACCTATTAATAAATCCAAATTTTGTAGGCAGTTGCATAGACACGCTGCTTTTTCCATTTGTGTAGCTGTTAAAATAGCTGTAAAGTTAAGTGGGGTTTTGCTTATAGGTAAACCAAGCTGTCTGGTTTCTGGTGGGTGATATACGTGCAACATGCTGTGTCGTACAAAACAGGCAGAGCCGTTGGAATAGAACTTGCTGGCCTTGGGCCACTGGATTATAGTCATTTGTCACTCTAATGCCATTTCAGCAATGTAGATGTTCATTTCCAAAGAATTAAACATGCTAGAACTGCGGTTTTTCTTTTTTGGTGGAAGTGTTTTATGTGTGGTCATTAAACATACAACTCAGGATTATGGGACAAAGGGTTATGCTTCATGGTGAAAAATAGTGTGTGTGTGTGTGTACACATGTACGTATGCACAAACACCGTAATGAAGAAGCAAATACTTTAAAATTGGGTTTCTAAGCCCTGTTTTTATTTCATGAAATTGTAATGTATAGGTTTATTACTACGTATTTTAAATGTTATTCCCAATAATGGTACCATGTGGATTAGTTTGAAAACACTTCAAGGATTTTGCTAGATTAGAGCTCATGGTAATATATTCATTAACACCCTAATAGAGTAGAACTTTGAAGTACATTAGTCTTTTTCATTTTGTATTTGACTCGCTAATACCTCATTTAATTGCAGATGTTCTTGATATTTTAAATACATTTAAGAACTTTTCCTCTTTGTTTGACGGTGTAAGATCTATTAATCTGCAGCGCACATTGCAAGGGCTGTTTTTTCACCTACAGGCAGGAGGTAGTTTAAATCACAGTAGTCCTGATAAAGTGATTGTGTAAGGCTAATTTAAAGCATATACCCAATGGAAAACTATAAAAAAAGAAAAAAAGTTTAACACAAAAT